CTTGGGAATTGTTCTGTAAGAGGGGATTTGGGGTCTGCATATCTCAAAACCCGAGAGAGCAGGGAAGTGAAAAGGCTGTGGATTCAGCTCACTAAGCACAGGCATTCCCTGGGACCAGCTAACCCAGCCAAAGCCCTGTGTTTTCAGCATTCGAACTCACCCATGCAGAATTATCCTTTGGAATAAAAACTTTATTTCTTTCAGAAAAATGGTGCATGTGTCTTTTCTAAATTTTCTTTGAAAACAAGGTCCTAGTGTAATTCTGCCTGCAGCTCGGTCTCTTGGAGGGCTGCACTGCCCTTTCTGTCTTGGAGGTACTTTCTAATGCTGATGATTTATAAGACATCATTATGAGTAACTAGCGTCAGCTTTGGCCAAAATACACAGCTAACGTGTCTGTTCCATAGTGTGACATCCTAAATCAAGTCCTTTGCCTCCATGCATGTGAAAGGCCCAATGTTTTCCTCCTCTGTAAGTTTCTCAATTCATTCCTCCTACCTGGCTGTCAGAATCTCTTTGATAACTTCTGTGTTGCTCATTGTTTAAGCATTTAATCTCCGCTTTTAAAACATAAAGCTGTAGTAAAATTTGCTATCTGATGGATGAAGACAGTGCACAAGTTCAAGCCTGTGCTGTCCTCGGGAGCAGCACTGGGTGCCAGCAGCCCAGACACCACGCTCGTGGGCTGCCCTGTGCACAGGCTGCAGGGCAAGGGGCAGCGCTCTGCTTGCTTACTTACACAGCCCTGCTCTTTTGGAAGTGCCGTGGTAACCATGGTTTTGGAGGAAAATGCTGATTAGTGATAGCTGAGCAAGCCAAATTGGAGCCTGGTTTACGTTGTCACAGAATCATTAAGGTTCAAAAAAACCTCTAGAATCCTCAAGTCCAATCGTCAACCCAACACCGCCATGCCCACAGAACCATGTCCCAGAGTGCCACATCATGTTTTTTGAACACCTCCAGGGATGGCGACTCCACTATTTCCCTGGGCAGCCTGTTCCAGTGTTTGACCACTCTTTCAGTAAATAAATTTTTCCTAATATCCAATCTGAACCTCCCCTGGCACAACTTGAGGCCATTTCCTCTCGTCCTATTGTTCCTCCCTTGTCGTTTGGTTCAGCTGCAGCGATGTGTGAGGAAGTGTAAATTTGAGGTTTGTACCTGAGGGACTCTTACTCTGAATGAAAACAACTGGTGGTAAGGGCGGTTTAGTAAAGCCAAGTAATTATCTGATAAACAAGGTTCTTACAGAAATGTATGAAGATTACATTGTCCCTTCTGATTTCTAAACCCTTGTCATAACTGCATTAAATGTGACAGATCTTACATTACTGTCATGATCTCAGAAAGCAGTCATTGCTCAACTGCCTTACAGGATTTCATTCTGGGTCTTACATAAACTTTTGAAAAAACACCTAAATGCCTGATTTTCTAAGGTGCGAGATATGTTAGGATATACTAACAGCTAGCAGTACCTTCTAACAGCTGTCTGTAAATGAAGTTAGATGCCCAAGATCATTTGCTAACTTAGGGCAAAAAAATGCTCATTCATTTTGACACTTGGTTATTTTGTTAGGTTGTTTTCCATTTCCTGATTGCTGTATTAATCCTACCGTATGAACATTTAAATTATTCTGGAATGCCATTTATTGCATCTTTCCATGTGCATGCTTTCCCAAAAGCAGTGATCAAATACTCTGTAGAGAGTTTCAGTCTGCCAGCTCAAGCACGCTGAAAAAATAAAGTGTTGGTGGTGATGGAGAGTGTCCAAATTAGCTGGATGTTTGGAGCACATGGTAAAGAATATGTTGACTTTCTCAAGCGTGTGCTCTGATTCAGGAGAGACCAGTGGTGGGCAGGGCTATTTTATCTGCTGTTGGATTGCAGTGAGGGTCAGGTGCATAACTATCACAGCGCTTTTAGAAATGCCGGTCAGTGCTCCCCAGATGTTGGATCGTGAGGTGTGAGGAGACACCAGAAGGAGGGATGGTGTTCAGAGCCCAGGTGGAAGCCTGCAGTGAGCAGGGTGTCACCAAAGGCTGTGAAAGGGTAGGAGCTCGCCTACTGCGGAGGCTGATCTCACGAGTTCAGAGGCCAGTCCTCTCATGATGTACTGAAAAAGAAAAATCTCACATTAGCGTTTGCCGTACTGCAGCTGTGGGTGAAAAGAAAACTCGAGCCTTTAGGACTGGCAATATCATCACTTTTATTAAGTTTCTATTGAAGGACTATTTTGAGTAAGATAAATTGATGGGCTGAACACAATAACCCTCAGTATCTCACTGTCAGATACTTAGTAGGCAAGCACTACTGAATAAGAGAAGAAATTAAGCTAAGATGCAGAAAAAAGGTTACTTGGCAACATCGTAGGGTTTGTAAAGAGGAGAAAGAAGGGTCAGGAACTTAATGAATTTTGATTATAGAATTTTCTGTAAGTCATTGCATGAACAGAAGAATCCTAAACCAGATTTTGGTATCATACTCTAATAGGGATTGCCTAAAGCAAAACAAGGTTTGTTTGGAAACAAGCTGTGGAGAATAGCAAAAGCATAGCTGCTGTGTATGAACAAAGTTGGACTCCCCAGAGACAGGCAGTGCTTGCTGGTCGTAGCTCAAGCAGAGATGACCTGAACAAGGTATGTGGTACTGATGAAAGTTGGTGTTCATTTTTCACCTTGTCTGAAGAAAACGTACTTGGAAGCGTGGAAATGTTGATTCGGAGACCCCCATGTTTACTGTGTGACGTAAAAGTTTCAGCTTCCCTTCAGTAATTGGGAGGAAGACACCAAATACAAAAGCATATAATTACAGTTCTGCCCAGCTTGCCAGTGTGATTTCAATGTGTAAATGAATTTTCCTCTGTAATAATAACCTTATTAATTTCTGACCCTTGCAGAGAAGAAAGATCCATTGATTGTTGCAGTTCAGTTATTTGCAGTGGGTTTCTGTAGTGGTAACCAGCTCAGGTGTTTGGAGGTGGTGCTTTGGGTGGAGGTGCAGTACAAAACAAACTGCACCTTCCCATCCAGCCTGCAGTAAAATCTGTTTTTAAAATAAAGACCATATTAAAGTGAACATCATGTTGTAGAGCCTGAATTTTGCAAATTGATTCAGTGGACCATGGCAACTAAACATGGTACGCTTATGGTAAATACAGTTTCATTGGAAATAATTATGGTACCTGGGAAAATGCAGTCTAACAAATAGTCCCTCTTCCCCCACCCCCATGCTAAAGTTTTAGCTGTTAGTAAACATTCTACCAAATCTAAAAGACTCAGTAAAATCTTGTTAGTAGATGTGTTCACAGGGACATTTTTCCATTGGAGACCATATACATCCATATGGAGTCTCACTTAGTGAACCACTGTATACGCCCCAGTGCTGGGAGCTCAGTCGCACCCCAGAGGATGCTGTTGGTCTTTCTCACCTATGTAGAGAGCTGAAGTTAGAGACACTGGTGAAAATTTTCACACAGTTCAGTTTACAGTAAATATTAATTTAGTTAACTAAATATCATAAATACAGTTCAGTCAAAAGAATACTTCAAAACCCTGTACTTTCTTAGGATTTGTGCTTCATTTTATATTACTGATCATACATCTTACTACAACTATGGGGATTTCAGAAAAACAGATTTACAGTGAAGTGTGCTAGTTACTTGTTTTTCTTTTCATTCAGTTCATTCAACGTGGAGAGCAAAACTAATAAAATCTGTTTAATATTCTTTTTACTCTCAAGCACCAATTTTTGAATGTCTGTTGTACCAATTTGTCCCAATAAGTCTTAGTACAGCATTATTTTGGGTGCTCTAAAGTATTTAGAGCTTGGTTTCACTGCTCTGATGCTTTGAGACATAAGTGGAATTATTCTGACATGACTCCTACATACTCCGAAATTTCAAGCTGCCCCTAAGCTCTGACTGTGATTAAATTGGCGCACCAGTGAGATTGGTTGAAGTTTTGTGGAGTTAGGATGGGATTTTCTGTGGTGTTTAACCAGATGCTGTGCTATTCAGATGTTAAGTTGAGCAAATCAAATTGTGGTAACTCTGCAGAGAAATAATTGCTATTCCAAAGTAGGCAATGAGTTGCCTTTTGTATTTTAAGTTATTCTGTTACAAATTAGAACTTGTAACCACTAAGTATGCATAAAGCACTTCTGTTCCTTATTATTTTTCTCTGTTCTGCTTAAATTTAAAAAAAAACACCAAAAACCAAACCACCTTAAAACCAAATTTCAATGCTGAGTCACATATAGTTTATAAGATCAGATTAACAAATGTAGCTTGCAAAGAGCCTATGGAACTATATTTTTACCATCGTTTGGTATAGAAAAAAATATCTATAGTTGCTTGATGCTTTACCACATCAGTTCCTGACTTTTTAGATTTTGGGAAGATGAGCTCAGGATTTTGTATGAGGGTAAGAAGCTGTCATTAGGCTCATTATTTCCAGGCTTCATTAAAGCACTCCTGAATGTACCTGATCGTGTGTAAACAAACATTCCTGATGAAATCTGTAGGAGTGCTTGTGCCCTTGAATAAAATCAGATGCGAAGCTGCTCAGCTCAAGCGAGAGCCTGTTGTTGGCCCACCTGTGAGACCTGTGGATTAGTAGCCCATGCACTTGTTCACGTGTAATGCAGATGATGGAAAACGTATATCTGAATTCAAAGTCTCTCAAATCCATTTTTTCCCAATGTGTTAAGTTAACTTTAGTATCAGAAACTGGCCATATTTTGTCTTCTTTAATCTTCTATCCTTACCAGGTAAGTGTTTAAGAAGCACTGTGGTCCCTTCGGGATTTTTGGCAGTGTTGTACTGGAGGCATTTCTTTCAGCATGGTGTGCGTAAATGGATGTGTGTGTGTGTGTGTGTGTGTGTGTGTGTGTATGTGTGCACGCACGCTTGTGTAGAGATAGATCTGTGTTGATATCTGAAATAATAGATGTGAGGGTTTTAACCTTGTAACTGTTACGAGATCTTTATGTGTCTGCTTTAGGGTCGACCCTATCCCATATGACACTCCAAAACCAGCGGGCCACACGCGATTTGTCTGCGTCTCAGACACACACTCCAGAACAGATGGCATCCAGATGCCTTATGGGGACATCCTTCTCCACACGGGCGATTTCACCGAGCTGGGACTGCCCTCAGAGGTTAAGAAGTTTAATGACTGGTTAGGTAAGGAATTACTGCGTTTTGGTGACCCCAATTAACCTCTCCTGTCCAAGTGTCAGTCACTGCCCCCTAATTGAATTAGAGCACTTGAAAATCCCCCCCTACCCTTGCTTCACTTGTCCTCATGTGATATGCTGTTCCTAGCCTCAGTATGATTCTGTTAATTAAGACAAATTTAGAGACTTTGCTGTATTTCTGTATTATCTTGGGGGAAAAAGGATTGTGTAGCCTTGTGTGTGTGGAGGGGGTGGTGGCACCTCATATGAATGCACACAGCATCCTATGTGTTGATGCTGTGGGGTTTTATGTCCGCAGCCAAAGCTATTGCTCACTGTATTTTGGGTTTACCATAATTGAAAGCAGTGCTGAAAGTTACAACATACTTGGAAATCATCACAGTCCTTCTTCCTACAATACAGGATGGCAAAAGCAGTAATAGTATTCGGAAAAACAGATTTTTTTGGGGATGGTATTCACGTGATTGCCACTTTGACTAAAAGTACTGGCATTTTAATTCTGAACATAGGCACTCAATACCTCTTTGGTAGAATGCCTTTTGTATTCTGCTGTATTTTCTAGCAGTGCCTTGACAGTGCATTGCTGCAGATCAGGGCAATTAAACTGCAACAGCACAAGACCAAAATGAAGGCGGGGAACTTGTGCAGGATGCTCCTGATATAAATGGCACTGGTAGGCTGGTTGTGTACTGCCATGCCACCTCTCACACTAGAAATACTCTTGAGATGAAGGTGACTTGAGCAGCTGATGTTCAAGAAACATTAAAACGAATTTACAGCATTATTTAAAAACTTCTGAAAGCATAGTTTTGTCATCACACTTTACCTCCATCACTGCTCTCTCTTTGACCTGCTGTATGATGGCCACATCTCTACATGCTTTTAATAGCATCATTTTATTCCATTGGAGTTCCTTGGCTGACCCTTCAAGAGTGAAGAACATTTGGATTTACAAAAGGAATTTTTAAATAGAAGTACTTCTACGTTCTCTGTCTTTTCACCCTCCTTTGCATTTTCTCCACACTGTTCTTTTTATCTTCCTTCTGACCTCTGTCCCGTTTTAAAGTTTTTTCCTTCTTTTTATTGCTGTGCACATGGGATGGGGGCTTCCATATACTGCCATATTACTGTAATTTAGTTTTTTCATTCTTATTTCTAGAAAGCTGTACTAGATTTTATGGGCTCAAAACTATCCTTTTTCTAGGAATTTAATTGCAGGACCAGGATGTAAGAAGTGGTGCAAGAAGTAGGTGGATATGTACATAGGTTGAGGGAAGACACACTGTAGGAATTATCTTCCTCAGGCTTTGTGTGTTCTTTGTAATAACCTGTAAATGGTAGTGGTGTGAAGAAGGAGAAGCGAGCAAGGTAAGGGCCATGGGAGGCTGCACAGCTTTAGTGGACGTGGGTGGTGTGGTCCCACCAAGCTTCAGGTCTCAGAGAGATGCTGGGCAGCACTGCTCTTCAACGAGGTTCAGTTGCCAGAGATGCCAGGCAGCTCCAGAAAAGGGACTGCTTTCTGGAAAGCATAGACCTTTGAAGTCTGACTGCACTGCTGAGAGCAGGGTCTGGCTACCAAAGTTCCTCTTTGGACTTTGAGTCATTTCTCAAGTGGTGTTTTGATACAGCCAGAGCCCATGCTCAGTGCTTGGCATTTGAAAACGCTAACTCAGTACTGCTGAAAGCCAAAACAAGTAAGTGTGTTGTCACCCTTTCATGGGGAATCTTACAGTATTGGCAGCCACTTGACATTCCTTGTATTTAATAGGTGTTTCATGATGATGTTATTTTATTACATAGATCCTTCGCTTAACATTTGCAACAGAAATTATAACCCTTTCAATAGGTTTTGTTCCAGCCTCAGTAATTTACCATGGGACTTTCTTAGCACATACATAGTTCTTCTAGAAGTCAGTTGTTGTGGTTTACGTCCAGTGCATAACTGAGCACCACAACGCCCCAAAAAAGGGGCGTCAAAGTAGCACTGGGAGGGCTTCTCACCACTTAAAAAGGTCACAGGCAAAAGACACTCATCATAAAGAAAAAAACCCAACAAAACAATTTTAATTTGTTACCAACATCAGAGTAGAACAATGGGAGATACAAGCAGATCTTAAAGTCAAAACACCTTCCCCCTGCCCCTCCCTTCTTCTCAGGCTCAGCTTTGTTCCCGGTTTCTTCACCTCCCTGCCTTTGCCTTGAGATGCAGATGGGATGGGAGTGGGGGTTGCAGTCAGTTCATGCCATGTGGTCCTTCAGTGTAGGGAGGACTCCGCCCAGCCTCTCTCTCTGCTTCCATGTGGCACCCTTTCCACAGGAAGAAAAGTCCTCAAAAGTCCCATACAGGTCTGCCCACAGCTGCAGTTTCTCTCATGCACAAAACTGCTTCAGCCCAGTTCCACAAAGCTCCAATCTGGGTCTGCCCCTGGTCACAGTTCCCTCACACACGAACTGCTCCAGCACACACTGCCCG